ATGGTCTTAGTAAGTGAGAATAATTGCAAAAATGGATATCGGTTGGTATCGGTTGGGGTATCGGTGAGAATGGTGTGTGAATTGCCGCAAACAATATGTTTCGTGCTCTCCAAGAGAAAGCGAATTGAGGGTAGCTGTTTATAGCCCTGTGTGTAACCGTTACTGTAGAAAAATTACTGTACTTCGTGTGATCCCCACCATGACATTTATACATGTTCTTACTGGCGCATCTTCTGGCATTCTATCTGACATATCTTCTGACATTCTATTTGGCATTCTATCTGGCATATCTTCTGGCATTCTATCTGACATATCTTCTGACATTCTATTTGGCATTCTATCTGGCATATCTTCTGGCATATCTTCTGGCATTCTATCTGGCATTTCTTCTGGCATTCTATCTGGCATATCTTCTGGCATTCTATCTGACATATCTTCTGGCATTCTATCTGGCATTCTATCTGGCATATCTTCTGGCATATATTCTGACATATCTTCTGGCATTCTATCTGGCATTCTATCTGGCATTCTATCTGGCAAATCTTCTGGCATTCTATCTGGCATATCTATCTGGCATATCTTCTGGCATATCTATCTGGCATATCTTCTGGCATATTTTCTGGCATTCTACCTGGCAAATCTTCTGGCACTCTATCTGACATTTTATCTTCCTACATGAGGTCCGGCAGGGAACACTTGGCATGGATACTCGCGGTTGAGGTCCGGCAGGGAACACTGGGCGTGGATGGTCGTGGTTGAGGTCCGGCAGGGAACACTGGGCGTGGATGGTCGTGGTTGAGGTCCGGCAGGGAACAGTCGTGGTTGAGGTCCGGCAGGGAACACTGGGCGTGGATGGTCGTGGTTGAGGTCCGGCAGGGAACACTGGGCGTGGATGGTCGTGGTTGAGGTCCGACAGAGAACACTGTGGATCGCGAGTCGCAGTTGAGCAGGAGGACGAGGAGGACAACGAGAGGAGGAGGACAACGAGAGGAGGAGGAGAGGAGAGGAGGAGGAGGAGGAGGACGAGGAGGAGGAGGACCAGGCAACTGACATAAAATCTAACAACCCTCACCTGGCAGGTGGGGAAAAACACCCTACTGCAGATTATTGTGGGATCGTGTTAGAATCTAGGGGTATCGGTGATGGGTCGTCCCCTATCGGTTGTGAAGGTTTCATGAAGGCAAGCAAAGTACAAGGCAGCTCTCTACTACTTTCAAATGCTAATAATTTTGTCGGATGCTCATATATGAATTTATATTTTTTATTTTCTAATATCCTTTCAATTTCTCCTTTGCCATCACCGTCCAAGGACGTGCCCGAAATAAGGCATGCAATAGTACCAGCAGCACAGCCACAAGGATCCCACGCTGTCCACAAAAAAGGGAAATACTCATGAGGCCAATTTGGGCAGTCACAGCCTCAGGGAAGAGACATCTCGCTCGCATGTCTGGCAGAAATATGTTCCACGCATGGGTATATCATGGGTATATGTATGCAATGGGTATATATATGGGTATTAACAATATAATGGGATATGTAATGGGTATAGAATGGGAATCACTCAGAATATGATATATTTTGGTATGGTCATCTCTATATTGGACATTGGAATTCAGGGGCAACCCACTGTTGGACAAAACCACTTTGTTCCCTGGGCAAAACCTTATCTTTCCAAATGAAAGCAGAAAAACATAGAAAAAGAGTAAATGAATCATCAAATTCAGCTGAGTGGCAGGGAGTTTCTTGCAGGGATGAAACGTTATCTTCTTGACAAATCCTAAAGACATGAATCTTCCTACACCACCCTGGCACGTTCATCCAAAGTTACTACAGTTACTACATTTCATCACGCGGCATTGAGTCTGACTCCAGTCTTATATGGAATTTAGTTCTAGTTTTGCAAACTCTCCTGCTGTTTCCAACGTAATTCATTTTTTGACCCGGAAACAAAACTCTTCCTGCGAATCTGCTTCGAGTCACCATGAGATATCGAATCCATGGTCCACCCACACTGCGGAAGCCACCGCCGGCAGATTTGGTTTGCATCAAATGGACATCAAACATTTCCTTGGATTTCAGATGGTGTTCAAACATGCAGTATGACAAAATTGAGCCACTGCCAAAATCTGAATGGATCCAAACGAAAATTGACAGCGTAATCATGCGAATTATACAAATGGGAAGGACAAGGGGGTTTCCTCAAGCAATAATAACATAACAAGAGCACTAAATATTGACAACGAAACATCATTCATGAATTCAATTAAATTCATATTAAATCTGGAACAGTTGGAACCCCAAAACTCTTCCCATGAAAAACGATCGTTAAAATGCGCCCCGCTTCTGGTGGGGCCAGTAAGGCCACAACTTGCAGCACCACGCAGAGCGTGAAGAGCAGCGGGCGCATGCAGGAGCCAGTGAGAATCGCAGCGCAAAAAATGAGGTTGATGTAATTTCCTGCAAGGTGGTGCCCCCACAGTTATGTTCGTTGGTGTACAATCCTCATAAACTATAGGTATATCAGAGACCTTAGTATAAATTACAGTATAGTTATTGGAGTTACAAACCAACTTAGCTAACTGTGGGGCAACCTTGTGCAGGATGATGGACAAACATCTGGCTCCATGACGTTTGGATGGATCTTTGTTGAAGGCTGGTAGTGAACTTCAAACAAGTGGGAATGGGTTAACAGATTAAAATCCCATTGAAGACTAGTATTGTTCATAGTACGCAGAATATTGAGTATTAGCCCTGAGTCTGCTTAATCCTTTTGGCAATTTAGATCTAAATGCGCAAAAGTTGCAAAAGTTGTGGGTCACTATCCCAATTCATATATGGGGAGGTTCTTAAATTGGAGGATCCGCAAAACCATTGGGTTCAACAATGAAATGGTCTAAAATCTGGAATCATTTGGGGGGTACCCTGATTTTAGCAAACCTACATATATATATAATACTATATTATTTATGTATACATATTAATTATATCTATATATCAAAAATATATCATATATATATATATTCTTACATATGATATTATACTATATTATACTATATCATATTACATTAACTTATAATATATAATGTTATAATAATATATTATAATTATATTATATCATATCTAATTTGTATTCATATTTAAATAAATGCATATTTATATCAATATTTTATATGAACATCAAATGAAACATATGATATCATATTATATCACATTATTTCATATTATATAATGCTATTTAATTTTATAGTATATTGTACTTATATTATATTATGTCATACTATATTTTTATTATATCAAATTATATTATATTATATATAATGTATTATAACATATTATACTATATTATTATATATTGTATCAAATTATATTAAATGAAATCAAATCATGTTGTAATATACTATATGTATATTATATTACAATATATTATTAATTATATTATATTATATTATATTACATTATATTATGTTATATTACATTATATTAATATATATATATATTATATTATATTATATTATATTATATTGTACTACATATTATATATATTATATTGTACTAAATATTATATTGTGCTACGTTAATTTTAATTATTGGTATATTATAGTATATTATAGTATATATTATTATTCATATTCTGTAATATTATATTACATATATAACATTATGTTATATTATAATACATATATAACATACTATATTATAGTTATATAAATATGTTATATCATGTGATATTATATTACAATTATAGTTTTATTATATTAAATTATTTCATATTATATTATATCAATTTATATAATATCATATCATATCATTTCATATCATATCATATCATATTATATTACATTATATTACATTATATTACATTATATTATATTATATTATACTATATTATATTATATACATACCCCATCACCAGGGGGTTATATACTTGTGCACAACATGGTGATGTCATCCTGACACCCCGGTTTTTTTTTTCACATCTCAGCAGCTGCGCCAATGTGAGCCATCTTCAAACCCCGCAACTCAGACATCCCCTAAAATCATCAACCAGGCTGGCTTTTTAGTAATGAGCCCCTTTCTGCATGATTTGCACACTCATGGTGCTGAAACCAAGGGTAGAACACCCTAAAACATCCTAAAACCATCCTAAAGCATCCCGAAACCATCCCAAAACCATCATAAATCCATCCTAAAACCTCCACTTTGAGATGTTTCTAGATGGTTCAACCCCCACATGCGTCCTGCGAAGCGTTTCAGGTTCGAGGGAACTCGCTCCTGCGGATGCTCCGGTGGCCGCAGGTCACTGAGGAAGTCGTTCCAAGGCTGGGAGGGCGACACGCCAACGGGTGCACCTGGGCTGCTGGATGACTACACCTGCGCTTCAATACCTGTTTAGTGCCTCAGATCTCAGCACATCTTACACTTCAGATGTACTGTCACTACTTGAGTTAGTGAAGTTTCTTCGCATGATGGCAATCTGTACTGTCATTTCAGCTACTTCACCAGTCAGTTCACGAGTTTTCACCCAGAGTTTTCACCCAGAGTTTTCACCCAGAGTTTTCACCATGTTTTCCATCGTTTCCCCACATTCTCCCAGCATTTCCCATGTATTTCCCACCTGCCAGGACCATCTGCAGCAGCCCCGCGCAGTGCTCTTCCATCGCCTCCTCCCGCGCTGCCGATACCGTGGCCCGCAGCGCCACAAGCAGCCAGGCCTCGGAGACCTTCGCGTGCCACTCGGCCAAGGCTTCGAGCCAGGCCATGGCAACGGTGGGATTTACCAATGGGGGAGAAATTCACAAGAATTTTCTTGGGATATGAATGGAATATGAACGTAATATGAATGTAATATGGTATAAATGGATAAATATTTGGGATATTCATGGGACAAATATGAATGGAATATGAATAAAATCCAGAATCTGATATTTGGGTGTTACCCTCAAGTAAATCCTCTATAAATGGTGTTTCAATGGGACAATCATCGAACTAAATGGATCTAAATGGACCATTTTCTTCAAGAGCTGAGTGACTGATACTGCACATGGCTAATTGAGGGACTTCCATGTGGCTCATGGTAAGTTGGATTATGACATTTGCGGATTTCTTCTAAAATCACATCTTTTGCTTGGAAGATGCAGTGGGTTTCTGTCTACCCACCTTGAGCAAAGCTTTGGAGCATCTGAGGCTTGGTATCATGCATTGCAAAGAAATGCTCGACAGTCTCCTGCGCGATTTTTCTTCGGCTCCAATCCGCCAATTTGGCCCTGCAGCTTCTATATCAAGGAATCCAACATGTTCGTAAGACTCCAGGGAAAATATCAAAGCAGCCCCTTGTCACCCTTGTCTAGAGGCTATAGCATCGGTCAACTATCTCTGTCAATATCACATCATGTTGGACATCAACACTACTAGAACCAGCTTTCGCATTCCAAAAAAATGGCTAGAAATTGCTCGAATAATCCATATAATTTGGACATATTTGGAATGAGAGTTACTTTTGGCTTTTGACCCACATCCCAGCTGATCGCAGCCGGTTTTGCTTCACGGCATTTTTTTCAGGGTCTTGGCTCGATTTTTGTGGATCTAGAAATGATGGCTGATCTGGTAATGTGTCAAAGCCACCAATAGATCATAGAACTGGATGATGGGAAAATTTACAGGAAAGCCCTACATTTGATGGTAAAAACCATGGTTTCCTGTAGATTTTCCCTTAAACCAATCCATTGAATAGACCATCCCCAATCTTTCCCAGCTCTTACCAGAACTTGGAGGAATCCTCGCAGAGGTTTCTGTTCTTGGGACATCTTGGGACCACTGTGGTTTTAGATGTTTTAGTGCTTTGGGAAAAACTCGTTGAACATGAAATAACATGAATATGAACATGAACCAACTATCAAACAAACATCTAATGAGGAAAACCATGAAACGAAAAAATCGACCAAGTTGCTGGATGGTTTATATAATCTATATCTGGTCAAATTGGGGATGCTCCATCATTGGGTTTGCCTCAGTACCAGACTTTCTTCAGCGTCTCTTTGGAACTGCACTATAACCAGACCAGTTCAGGACCAGATGTAGCGAGTGCTCAGAAAATCGGCCCTGGGACACGACGAGTGGTTGCAGGCGGATGTTTTTTACACCACCTAAGACCTAGAAATCAATGGATTGAAGGGACAATCCTCAGGAAACCATGTTTTTCCATGTTTTTTCGATCAACAGAATTCAACATATGGGGGGGCTCTGGCCAGGGCGTACAGCATCTATAGATCCCTAGAGTTCGAAAACACGTTGTACTTTGGATACAGTACTGCTACTCTAACACACATAATATATATATATATATATATCATATATTATAAGGATCCACAGCCAGAATACACCAATACACACCAATTTAAAATACTGCTATTTGGGATATACAACCCCTTACATGACATAACCATATATTAACCGTATATTAACCTTATATTAACCAACAGTTACAAGGACTGTGTCCTGGCGAAGCTCGTCAAACGGCGTGGAAGCACATGGATGATCAATTAGCAGCCTAAGGTTGTCCATCTAAAGATTATACAGGTTGTAAAACATTTAGTATGATAACATGACATATTAGTATATATTAGTCATATTATGATACACTATTATACAATTCTTCACATATCTTTATATGTCTGGTTGGTGGTTTTAACCATCTTGAAAAATATTAGTCAATGGGAAGGATTATCCCACATATTATGGAAAATAAAAAATGTTTGAAACCACCAACCAGATGTTTATCGTTGGCATTAAAGGCAACAGTTGCGTTATCGAATCAGCAACTGCCATGCCAAGGTGCTCCGTGCGAATCTCCGACGAGGGAAAGTCCCGGAAGTTGGTCAACCTGGGATTTTCCCAGGGGATTTTCCCATGAAGATCCATGGGGTTTTCCATGGTTTTCATCTGTAAATTGTCCCTTAAACCAAGGTTTTCCGGTTAAAATGGTCCCTTAATTATAAACCAACTACTAATTGAGTATGATGACCAGGAACAGGAACAACAGGAAGGATAATGAACAACTTGGAATGAAACTAAAGAAGAGAGGTGGCTATTGATGCCGGTTTGAGATCGTTTGAGATTTTATGCCTTCTTCCTCCAGTCTTGCTGTTACACATGATGCCTTTACTTTTCATGGACTTCCCTTTTTGATGTCAGATCTTTCTAGTTGAGCCATTTTGAAAACCTTCACGCACTCCCTATGTCGTATCATTTTGGGTACGCCAAAGCTTACGCCATGCTTACGCGCATAGAGTTTTTCCAGCAAATTGAGGAAACCCTTATGCGAAGTCCTTACGCGGCCTTACGCAAGTGAGGGTTTTGCTTACGCCAAACGCGTTATGACAAGGCCCTTACTGAAAATGTAAAGGGAGGTTTTTAGAGCGGCTCAGTTGGGTTTACTTGCCTTTGGAGTCTCCAACCTGTGAAAACATCACTGGAACGACATCATACATGACCCTCTGGTCTCCTCAAACGTGGCTGGCTTTTGACAATCCCAGAACTAAATGGGGTATTTACAAATTACTCACCTCCTTTTTGTATCTTATTGAAACCATTTACTATAGTGAAACAGCTCGGAGCCCTGCTGTGGAACCGATCCCGGATAAAAACTCCTTATGGAGTCTTCGCCAAAGTCATTTCCACTCGGGCTTTTACTTTCCAAACAAAGGATAAGATCATAGATATATGGAGTATCCTGGTATCCTCATTATATCATTTGAGCCGCTCCTCAATATTGGATGATACTGGAGCTATGGCCCTAAAACCAGTTTTAAGTACTAACAAAACACCAATTATAGAATGTTAATATATAATCCCATTTATAACCAGTTATAACTTATACCCTCTGGTAAACTAACATAACTATGGAAAATCACCATTTTTAATGGGAAAATCCACTATAAATGGCTAATATGTCCATGACTGTGGATGATATTGGTCAAACTTTGGGACATTCTACAGGTGCCCGGGCCGCGCGGCATCTGGCAGGGAAATCTCGTCCTCGCGATTTTTGCCGGACTCGCAGCTGACGAATAAAAATGCTCGGATGAATAGAAGATGTAGATTGCCCTAAAGGCTATGGCGGCTATGCACCTGGTGAATGATAGTGAATGATACTGTGGATGGTTGCAAAATCCTGCACCAGTTGGTACTTTCGTAACTGTTAGTAACTCTATGAAACACTGTAAATAATGGGATGATAAGGAAATAAACCATCTACTGGTGCAGGTTTTCGCAACCATCCGATAGTTTTTATGCATTTGCTGGGGCTCATCCCTCTGGGCCGTTCCGCCTGTGCATAGTAGTACTTGTCAGCGATGAGCCAAAGAGGAAAATCTCCATTCCTGTGGCGGCCACAGCTGCCATACTTTTCCAACATCGACTACAGCTTTGTACAGATGGTTTTGTACTAGACTTACTAGACAAGCCAAACAAACCAATGCACACGGCTGAACAAAAATAGTTGCCCTTTTCAAAGCTAATATCCCAAGTTAATGAGATAGTCAAGTGGGTATGGATCCAATCAGGCTCAGTCAATTTGCCAGCCCCTTGGTTCAATATGGTTCAATGCCGCCGTTTGACTGTCATAGAATTAGTCTACAATTGAAGCGTACGTGTATCGTGTAAATCCCCATTATGATGTGCAATTCCACCCACTTGATGCTGTGTAAACTTCTACAAACTCCAATACAGACTTGATAACAAAACAGTAAGACCCCCGTTGTTTATCCCAAATCAATATTTGATCAAACAAAATCCGTACTGCAGGGTTTGATATCAGGATGGTCATGGATGTGTATATCAATCCACATTCTTTGTTGGTTAGATAGGGGTATTGGTCTGGTACCCGGCTGCTCAAAGCAAAATAACTGCGAGTCATGAATGTTCATCACCCGATTAAGACGGTCCTTTACATTCCTTTACAACCTGCAAGCCCTATCAAATCCGCCATGATCCGCCTTTTGAATGGTTGATAGCCCATTTCTTGGAGGGGTTTGCATCATTTTACATCAACCCCTCTGATAAACTAACATAACTATGGAAAATCACCATGTCTAATAGGGAAATCAACTATAAATCGCAATTTTCAATAGCTATGTTAGTTTACCACAGGGTACTGTATACCTTAGCTTGATCCAAAGGGGCTCCAGGGATGGTTTCTATAGAGGGTGGACGGGGCATGACGTAAACATAAACTTTGTCTAGGCGTAAGTAAAAACATATGTGAAACATAAACGAAACATATGTGAAACGTATATGAAACATATGTCAAACATAAGACAAAACATATGTGGAACGCAAACGAAACATAAATGGAATATAATTGAAACATAAGTGACACATAAAGCAAAACATGTGTGTGAAATTTGAAACATATGTGAAACATGAGTTGGCCGTCCCCCCTGTGTCAAGCAGTTGCCAATTTGAAATCCAAACCTGGTACAAACCTGCAGCCAATGTGAAACTGATGTCTACCACATGTTTCACATATGTCTGACATACGTTTTGTTTGCGCAGCACTTGCGTCAGGCAAAAGTCTAAGATCTTATTCTGGGAAAATGAGATCTTAGGATTTTGACATACATAAAAAAACACAAGCGAAACACAAACAAAACACAAACAAAACATAAACAAAACACAAATGTAGCATAAACTTGTTTATGTTTTTCTGTGTTCTGTTTATGTTTTGGTTTATTTTTTGTTTATGTTTGATTTGTTTTTTTGTCGATGATTTGCGTATGGCCTTATTTTTATGTTTTTTTGTGCTTTTTTTTGCTTGTTTGCACAAAAAAGCACAAAAAAAAACATAAAAATAAGGCCTTACGCAAATAATTGACACAAAAAAACACAAACAAAACATAAACCAAAACATAAACAGAACACAAAAAAAAACATAAACAAGTTTATGCTACATTTGTGTTTTGTTTATGTTGTGTTTGTGTTTCGCTTGTATTTTTTTTATGTATGTCAAAATCCTAAGATCTTATTTTCCCAGAATAAGATCTTAGACTTTTGCCTGACGCAAGTGCTGCGCAAACAAAGCGTATGTCAAACACAAGTGAAACACAGAGCAAACATTGTGTCACATAACTCCGCTCACCTCCAGAGAAGATGGAAACACGTGCGCGACAGTTGGGACACATGACTGCCAGAATGGTTTGTGGATTCATTTGTGTTTTGTTGATGAGTCGTTTTATGTTTTATTGTGGATTCACTTGCGTTCTGTTTATGATGAGTTTCCGATGTGTTTATGATTCACTTGTGTTTGCTTTTATGTTGCGTTTACGTTGTTTTATGTTGGTTCTTTACGTCTTTGGTTTATGTAAGGCTCTTAGCCTCAGATCTGGTTCCTATAGACGAAGCCCTTTGGGTTTACCTAATGTATACCCCAAAACCACTCAACAGCTTTGAATGCCACTGCTGCCACGTTGCGACTTACGATCGAAAACCAAATTGGCGGACTGGCGCGGGCAATCATCTGACAGGAAGTTCCGATCTTTGTCCACACCTGGACCAAAAAAAACACAGATGTACTGGTTGAACATCTACAGCAAACGCATAGCAAACGCAATCAAAGGATACTTCAACATTGTTTCCTGATAATTTTCTAAATCATACCATTGTTGGATGGCTGGCATGGAAATGATCATGGCAATGGACATGAGACATGAGTCACATGAGACATGAGTCACATGAGACATGAGACCTTCGTCTTCGCCGCTGACCTTGTGGTCATTGATCCGCTCCAAGGTAACTTCTAGTGAAGTTTTTTACGAAATAATATCATGTTACGGTAACCCCACGTTTTTCTATCCCCAAAAGAAAATCTGATATGGTTGCAACCCAATATCCCCATCTTGCTCGACTCCTCATTGTCTCTGGCATGTGTCTTTGATCTAGTTACTAGTTCAGTATCATATAGTTCAATGATTTTCCTGATTTTCCCGTGCCTATTTTTATGGAACTAATAAATATAAAGATATTCTCCCAGGTATTTCTATTGAACAATTATTGAACTATATGGATACCCTCTGGTAAACTAACATAGCTATGGAAAATCACCATTTTCAATGGGAAAATCCACTATAAATGGGCCATTTTCAATAGCTATGTAACAAATTACCAGAGGGTACTATAGATGATCGCTCAATAATGATTCTCCCCGATGATCCCCTGCGGAGCGCAGGAAGCCAAGTGACACTCCACAAAGGGTGCCAGCTCCGCGGCCTGTTTTCCGAAGAGCTCTCTCAGCTCCTCGTGAGGTGACCAAGGGGGACCTGAAAGATGTGGATTTCACGCAGTTGACACGAACAAAACCATGGAAGAACAATTAAAGGAATTCTAGTCCTTCTAGCCTCTATTTCTCTGTATGTGAAACTTTTTTTTTGGGTCATAGTTCTCTATTGAAGACTGCCATTACACCCATGTGTCAACCCTATGTTTTTGGGGACACTCCCCCACACCTCACCAGCCTCACCACGCTCCTGACATTCTCTGGAGTACCAGGTGCAAAATATCAAGACGCCCTTCTCCCTCAGGGAACATGTGAAAACTCGGTCATATCCACATTGTTTAACGCTATTTCTGCTGCTTAAATCACCTGTTTCGTGGTATGTTTGCTATTCTACGGGTTAAATCATGAAAAAATCACCAATGATGTACCCATCATCTCCCATTTCTGCGGGTTTTCTCCCACGGCAGCCACCACAGCACACTGCCACCGCAGCCCTTCACCAAGGTACTTGAGATGCTTGGCCAAGGCTAACTCCACCTGAGGGCTCCACCGTCCAAGGTTTTCTAAGTTTGTTTAGTATATAATATTATGATTTAAATCATATTATATAATCTATATATATTTATATATATATATATATATTATATTATATTATATATATTATATTATATATATATATGTATATATTATATATTATATATTATATATATATATATATATTATATATATATTATATATATATATATTATATATGTATATGTACTGTATGCATTCACCTATCTGTTTGTGCGAGGGCTGATTGAGGGGTATTGAGGGGCTATTCGCCGTTTTTTTAATGTGGGGATTAAGCACAAACACCCACCAAGATCATCCCTATATTTCCATTTGATAGTACAAAGTGGCTTACAGTTCTCTGTACCCCCATCAAAATACGCTGCTACGAGTACTTAGGCTTCCAGTTCTACATCAGCATTGAAATCAGACTCAAATCCACCAAGGGCTCAAAGATTCACAATCACGAAATCTACGGTATTGAAATGTAATTTAACACTTTGCAAACTGAAGATCACAATGCTTAATTACATGTAATTACGGTAAATCACCGAACCAAATGAGCCATGTATTCCAGTTTGCAAAGTGTGAAATTTCCAGTATGGATTCATCCCCCCCCCGTTTTTTCTGATCAACATCAGTCATGAAATCGGTGGTGTTTTAACCCATCCCACAAATATCAGTCATCTCAAGTATGGTTGAGAAACAATGTTAGTAATATATATTTGAAAACCACAGACCACCAACCTGTACGGGTATTGGAAGTATGGTTTATTTAATACATTTATTTCAAGCGGGGGTTGAACCACTCCCAAATGAAGTCCCCATGTATTGTATATTATCCCGTAGTTAATCACCCTTCTCCCTATTAACACATGTTGGATATTTTTGGGACATACATCATTTTCAGACACACCCATATCTTAGATTACACCCTCATCCATATAAATCCATATAGTATATATATATATATAATCAATATATAATCATATGTATATAGTACATATGTTATTTATATGTTTACCGTTATAAACCCACGTGGTATCCCCATCTTAGGTACTGAAATCCCCATGTTTTGTCGGCCCAAAACGGGTCCGTGGAACAGCCGCGGGCAAGGCTGTTCGCGCCTTGGTCGACTCTGTCTGGACCGGTGGACTGTCTGGGGCATAGCGCTGGCTGAGGTCATCCCACCTGAAAGGACGGATGGCATCCCAGCCATAAATTGGTGGAGACCTGGTTGGGTAAATAGCACATTGACTATACATTTTATACAGGAGACTTCTATAAATATGAAATAAATGATGAAATCATGGTTCATCATGATAGACTATATATTCTGAAAAGTCTTATTCTTGTTGTTCTGTTGTTGATCTTCTTGTCGTTCTGCTTATTCGCATCATCCAAAATGGCAGCATTTGTATAAACGGCCACGGGCCGTTGAGCATCGATCTCCGACCGCCGATTTTGCCCGACCTCTCAGCACGTGCCGGCGCCGAAGCCACCAGAAATGGCAGAACCAACGCGCACAGAGTCCACCAGAAGCGGCGCGTCCTGCAAAGTTGGAGACCTGGAAAGAGGGATTTTTTTCATCACTAGCATCCTGGTTGAGATACAATATGAAGGTAATTACCAGGTAATTACCAGGTAATATGAGTTGCATATCACTAGCATATGACTAACATAAGCATCCTGGTGAATTTCCCAAAACACTTCTCTATCTTTAAGTCATCTTTGTGGGGGTTACCGGGTTGCCATGATTGAAAGTTGAAACATACATGGGTGATGTTTGTGCCGCTATATGATACCTCCAACCAGGAAAACATGCCTCAAGCACGTCAAGCATTGGTAATGAAAAACAAAAAATGCCAGTTGAAATCATGGTCTCTTCTTAAGGGATCAGCAATGAACAAGGATTGAAGTCATTGCTTACCCACACTTGAAAGCCCACAAAAAGGGGCATCTGGATGAGTGGATTCGTGGGTTCCCCTACTATTGGACGAAGCTATTGGTGGATTTGATCTCATGAATGATTTTTTGACCATATTTTTAGTGATCTTGACAAAAACATGGGATTTATATGGGATTTAAGTGGATTGAATGTTAGTCAATCAATCATAAACCAATATTATCAGCCATAATCCCACATATTACCATAAACCACATAAACCAATATTATCAGCCACATTTTGATGCTTGGAATCCCACATCATCCCACCCATTGATGGTAAAACCCACGGTAAAACCACACAACGACCACGGCACGAGCCGAGCCAAGGGGCTTCTTCCCTTGGCTCGCACTGACCACTGCCGCAGCCGACGGGGTGGATCTGGCGGAGCGACAGAGCGTCAGCTGGGGCCATGGGTAATCTTTTTGACTTACCCTCTGGTAAACTGTCCCATAACTATGGAAAGATCCACCATTTTTAATGGGTAAATCCACTATTTCTATGGCCACTTTCAATAGCTACGTTAAATTACCAGAGGGTAGAACATCGTTGAAAATCGTTGAAACACCAGCAATGTCCAGAATACATGGAGGAGTGTCAATTGTGTCAATTGCCATGTTGATCCGATCCGCAGTACGGATGTGTTTCATAGGAAGTGTCCTGAATTTTAACACAAAGAGAGGGCTTTGTAGCATCCACTCTTGGTGACCTGCGGATACTGATCGCAGCTCCCATTGATTGTTTGAAACATACCATGGAACATCTGACAAAAAACAATGTCCAGGGCATAAAAAAATCGTCACCTTCCCAAAAAAAAATACGTGGCCAATATTTTTTTTGAAGTTCGACTTTAGTTTGCTGGGGAAACAGTACTTATTATAATGTATATATATAATTATATAATATATATATATAATTATTTGTATATGCCGCATATATATGTCGTTTATATCCCAATAATCCCAATATATATTCCATTTACATCCCATTAAATATCCTATCTATTATCTATATGTTGATTTATCGTTTTTTGGTTAGAACAGGCAGCAGAATTCTCAGATCACTTGGCGCCTGCTGAGGCAAGCAGCACAGGTGGCCCCCGCAGTTGCCAGGGCCTCAGTGGGATTGAAACATCTCCAATTTGGTCAGCAAAACATGGGGATGGGTCAAAACCTATTGCTCCCATATTTCGGGGAATAAACATCCATGAGCCAGCAATTCTGGGGTACCTAGATACCAGGGTTTTGACCCACAACCACATGGGTAGAAATAATCCCCAATACCCTGAAGATCTCTGTAGGATGTTACTACGTAGGTTTATTGTGGGGATTTAGGGAATAAAAGTCATAAGACATGGGCCTACTCAAGCCTTCAAATCATCCCAGGAAACTCGATCTCAGGTTCAATCATGATTCAGCCGACCAAAAACATGGAACTTGGGACACTAATTAATTTGTGATAATTTCTGTGTGATTTCCCAGGATGTGAACGTATCTAAACTATTGTAAACGATTACTCGAGGTCCTTTCATGGTTACTCAATGTGGCTCAGCAGCCCAAGGCCATCTGGACCATTCCGCAGTCACGCCTCCGAGCGGAGCTGGCAGATGGGTATCAAGGTTGTAAACCACGGCAAATCAACCAGAAAATGTATCAGTTCCTCGCCAAAAATCATCCACACACATCCAAAAACTATAAGAACATTAATAGACAGATCAGCAGAATTGAAACGTGGTCCGATTGTTTCGGCATGACTGGTTTTTGTAGTAAATCCACATCACAGCAAACGTCTTCCAGCCGCGAATCCGACTAGCCTCCCACAGCTTTTTGCCCTCGCACGCCACGGCCGAAACTGCTCAGTGACACCGTGTGGCTTGGAACACCACGGAGCGTAGGTGCCGTTGCAGCTGGCGCCAGCATCGCCATTGCGTTGTGAATAGTTTTTTTTTGATTTGGCCAAGTGTCGAAGCTGGAGATGCTCTGAATATAATGCTGCATCTGAGACTGGCCAAGTTTTTGGAAGATTCAAGGTTGTCATGATCTCAAAGTCCATCAAAGGTCCATATAGTCTGTGTCAACATTAATTTTCTCCAGAAGAGATGGATTTTGTCCCATGTTTCTTCCATGTTTTTTTCGAAGCAAAGCTGCCGTCACCGGAATCCCACAGGACCCAGGACCCATGGATCCCAACAGAAAAGCTGGTACTACGGGCCCGAAAACGGATAAAGATGCTGTGGTTTAATGGCTCTTAAAACTTGACTGGTCCCGGCTAGACATTTTGACTCATGTCGATTTTGAGCAAATCAACCACTATGACTATAATAGATTATAATAGTTTATTCCCCTCTATTGATGTTTTCAGCCTTGATAAAGCCCGATTTTCGCCGAGAAATCCATAACACATCCATACACGTCCCCATTTTGGCTGCATCAAAAGCCACTTTTTGTCAACGAAATGCCAATGTTTCATGGTGTGAAACGACCACCCAGGCGTTGCGGCCGGAGCCGTCGCCGGTAAGGCTGTTGTGCCCGGGATGAATTCCCTGCGGGGTGTTTGCTGCTTTGGAACATGGTTGAAGTGTAGGAGTTGCCATGGGATTCCATCAAATTTCGCTACGGGGTAGCTGTAAATTTTGCGGCGTTACTGGTCACAACTGGGTCCCGTCAATAGATGTCCACCACGGAAAGATGACGACTTGTGTTCTTAGCCATGGAATTTCCAGGCCCAGCAAAATCAACGGCACAGTTGCTTTTCCCAACTCAACTAATAGTGATTCCTGATGATTTCAAGAAAACATGTGAAAGGATACATGGTCCCAACATGTCCCAACTTCGACTTCCAGAAACTTCAAGACATTTCTTGGATTCTTCTCAGATTTCCAGTGCGGCTCAGTCCATGGCGCCTTTGGCGACCTGGCAACTGGGGCCAAGCTGGTGATCTTTATGGAGGTTTCCATCAATGGGGGCACCCCATCATCATGTATATCAGATTGGGATTTTCCATTAGAAGCCGTCAATTTTGGGGATCCCCAATTTATGGAAACTCACATGTATACAGTATATGCGATGCATACTTTATGTATCTTGAATTATCTTGATAGATGAACGGGCTGAAAGGGGATTGGCGAACAAAAACTAGGATTGAGAATCGAGTTTTTATTCATTCAAATCAGGAAGTATCCAAATTGACTTAAACACATGTCACAAACCAATATGACATGTGCATTCCATGTCATTCCATCATTACATGACAAAATGTCAGACTGACTGTCATCACCCATGGGTAACGTCTTTTGAGACACAAGAATTCTATACATTTTTTAGGTATGGCTCTAGACTCTAAATCATCACTCTAAAAAGTGGACGGTACCAAATAACAATTACAGTACTGTATTCTCAAAATGGGAAGGTGTCATCTTAAGTACCACATTAAAAACATGCTTCAAAACTATGAAACATATCCCCAAAAGTTACCAAAAAAATGGCATACCAACCATAACACCATCTTTTTGACCGCAACCCATTCCGTCTCACGGTGGGCCGCTGAGCCTAAAAGTCCATGGTTTGAGCCCCCTAGCCATGAGCTGGGCCAACAAAAACATGCAGGATAGGGACTGTCCCTTGAAAAAAAAATCAGATGGAAAATACAACCGTTCGATATCGTTCGATATATGTTCTCTGAAAATGGCATATGAATGCATATGGCATATTTATAGATCTTGTTCTTATTGAACATGGCTATCTTCCGTTATCTAAGTCAGTTATAAATTATAGTACTAGAGGGCTGGGATTGTGGGAAAGATTGCCTTAAAACATAGCAGGAAAATCAGGGAAGGGGCCAGGGGCCAAGAGGGCAAGCGCACACTACTCATCACTTCCACAGAATCCGTCTACCTTTCAACAGTTCTCCGTCAATGATGGCTACCAAAAGAGCAAAAAGAACGAGCTGAAGCAATGGATGCCCCCTCTAATGGGTCAAGAAACATTCACATTCCTAAAGCAAAAGTAGAACCCCACCAAAATATACTAAAATAGTGACAAAAGGTTTTCACATCTTTTGGAGGTTACTAGACCGTGATTGGCGCTTTTCTTCTCCCCGGGATGGCCTCATTCGTTGCTCCCAGGCTCCTGGTAATGGCTGCTGCCAACAATCCATGGCCCATGTAGATTCTCAAAATACGGCAGATGTTCATAGAAATTCCACATGACATTACCAAAGGATTACCCAACCTGGTTATGACTAACAGTTCGCCATGGAAAATCACCATGTTTAATAGGTAAACCATCTATTTCTATGGGCCATCTATACCATGGCTATGTTAAATAACCAGAGGGTATATTGTAAAATTCGAAACCGTCCATTTTAGGGGATGGCAAACCTTGATATTTAGTATACAGCCACAGAAATGATCCATGGCTGATGGTGGCTCATGGCTCCCTCCGGCGAACATACCCCATTTTCTTCTGCTTCTTGCCTTGTTATACCATTTTATACCCCCTTAAAAAATCATCCTGATTTAGTAATGTTTAGTACAGGAGCTTTTCGTTTGGGGTCCCAAATGGGGCGATTTGTTTGTTTTCGGGCAATGAGATAATGTTCTTCTCAGTCAAGATTGCAACTTCGGATGATATCCGACCATGGAACTAGGTCGTAAAAAAGCGAAGGGTTCCATCTCCAAAGCCATCACCAACAAAATTGTCAAACAACTCCCATCCACAAAGTTCGGTTTTCCCATATAAATCCAACATAATCCAACCATGGCTCCACCCGGCTCCAGCCGGCTCCTGGCAATGCCCGTTCTGTGGGGGAAGAGTTTTTCGTAAAGGCAAACCAAGATGTCCTGGACGTTTCGAAACGGAAACGGATCCACCATGATCCACCCAACGATGGGATGCATCGGATGCATCGCCACGCCTCGTTGTTGAGCATCGCTTCCAACACCTTCTCCCTGGGCAAGCAGATATCCTATATCTATATTTATGTATAGTCTAATAATTTCTCATATCATATATATATATATATATGTGTATATTATATTATACACACTGAATATATCCGCCGACCCCGGCCTTTGCCAAGGCAGGGGCGGCGCCTGGGACCACCGGAGGTGTGGAACTTGGCTCTTCGGGTCGCAAGCAAAGGCACACGCCATCAAGGCAACACCTCTGTCAGCTACATGCCCCAGCCATCTACATGCTCCTGCCGAACTCTTACACCTACATGCCCCTGCCATCTGTTTTTCAGGACGTTCAAGACTGCCATGCCCGGCCTCAAACCCTCCAAACGCTTCCGCAGGCCTCCAAGGCAACAACTCTTACAGCTACTACATGCCCCTGCCATCTGTTTTTCAGGGGGTTCAAGACTGCCGTTTGCCCGCCCTCAAACCCCCCAAACGCTTCCGCGCCTTCCCGCAGGCCTCCAAGGCAACAACTCTTACAGCTACATGCCCCTGCCATCTGTTTTTGCGGGGGTTCAAGACTGCCGTTTGCCCGGCCTCAAACCCTCCAAACGCTTCCGCAGGCCTCCAAGGCAACAACTCTTACAGTTACTACATGCCCCTGCCATCTGTTTTTTAGGGGGTTCAAGACTGCCGTTTGCCCGCCCTCAAACCCCCCAAACGCTTCCAACCCTTCCGCAGGCCTCCAAGGCAACAACTCTTACAGCTACATGCCCCTGCCATCTGTTTTTCAGGGGGTTCAAGACTGCCGTTTGCCCGGCCCTCAAACAAACCCCCAAACGCTTCCGCAGGCCTCCAAGGCAACAACTCTTACAGCTACATGCCCCTGCCATCTGTTTTTCAGGGGTTCAAGACTGCCGTTTGCCCGGCCTCAAACCCCCCAAACGCTTCCAACGCTTCCGCAGGCCTCCAAGGCAACAACTCTTACAGCTACATGCCCCTGCCATCTGTTTTCAGGGGGTTCAAGACTGCCGTTTGCCCGCCCTCAAACCCCCCAAACGCTTTCCGCAGGCCTCCAAGGCAACAACTCTTACAGCTACATGCCCCTTGCCATCTGTTTTTCAGGGGGTTCAAGACTGCCGTTTGCCCGCCCTCAAACCCTCCAAACGCTTCCGCAGGCCTCCAAGGCAACAACTCTTACACAGCTACATGCCCCTGCCATCTGTTTTTCAGGGGGTTCAAGACTGCCGTTTGCCCGCCTTCAAACGCTCCAAACGCTCCCGCAGGCCTCCTCAAGACTACCGTTTGCCCTCCAAGGCAACAACTCTTACAGCTACATGCCCCTGCCATCTGTTTTTCAGGGGGTTCAAGACTGCCGTTTGCCCGCCTTCAAACGCTCCAAACCCTCCCGCAGGCCTCCAAGGCAACAACTCTTACAGCTATACATGCCCTTGCCATCTGCTTTTCAGGGGGTTCAAGACTGCCGTTTGCCCGCCTTCAAACGCTCCAAACGCTCCCGCAGGCCTCCAAGGCAACAACTCTTACAGCTACATGCCCCTGCCATCTGTTTTTCAGGGGGTTCAAGACTGCCGTTTGCCCGCCTTCAAACACCTCAAACCCTCCCGCAGGCCTCCAAGGCAACAACTCTTACAGCTATACATGCCCTTGTCATCTGTTTTTCAGGGGGTTCAAGACTGCCGTTTGCCCGCCTTCAAATGCTCCAAACGCTTCCGCAGGCCTCCAAGGCAACAACTCTTACAGCTATACATGCCCCTGCCATCTGTTTTTCAGGGGGTTCAAGACTGCCGTTTGCCCGCCTTCAAACGCTCCAAACGCTTCCGCAGGCCTCCAAGGCAACAACTCTTACAGCTATATACATGCCCTTGCCATCTGTTTTTCAGGGGGTTCAAGACTGCCGTTTGCCCGCCTTCAAATGCTCCAAACGCTTCCGCAGGCCTTCAAGGCAACAACTCTTACAGCTATACAGCTATACATGCCCTTGCCATCTGTTTTTCAGGGGGTTCAAGACTGCCGT